TGGATGTCGGCGAAAAGTATAAGAGGACAGGAGATAAGTAACTGAGGGTTAATGAACACAATCAAAACTTTGAAAATGACAAGAAATGCATACACTTGGACTATTGCGATCTTTTCGGAGTCATATAATCAAGAATCTTCAATCGTTGATTTATATCGTATCCAGGACCCCAACCAAACACCTTACATTTCCTCTCATGCTCAGACCGATAGTCGAAGTCTTCATGAGGTGGTTACAAATCTTAGTGTCTCCACACTTACATCTCTTCTTACTTAGTGCTACTTCAGCTACATAGCCATCGTCTCTCTGTGTAGTCCCATAAGAGATCTCGTTGGTCACTGGCCCATAAAGACTGGTCCGACTTTTCAGATCGGTGAGGGGGTCAACACTCTAAACCGCCTCTCTTTTTATTGTTAGACAAGTTCCAGAGCAACAATTTACATTCAGCTTGTGAGAAACGCAACTCAAACATTCCTCAGGTGCCTCACAGACTGTAAAGAACACACTGAATCTTGTCAGCATATTCACCTAACAGGACTGGGTTATCTGCATACTCTAGGTCTAGTAGAGAGTTTCTTGAGGTAGGGTCAACCCGTGTAAATTCAGACAAGGAGAGGCAGACCTCCATAGGTATGTATATGATGGAATGAAATAAGAATGACGAGAGTGGACAACAATAACGGATACAACTTGACAAAAAAATTCACCTGGTAACAGCATAGTTTCTGACGCAACTATGCGTGTTTGAATACTGAGCTTACAGCAACGCGATGTACTTACAAGGCACCCCATTCAGTGAAAAACACTTTCATAAGACTTCTCGACCAACAGAATGGGATACTGCCCTTAGGTTAAGATATACAGTCATTGTCGGTAACTGTGTCCGTTTTAGAGAACCTGATGGATGGTGAGTGTCTGGTTGAATCATTTACAACCAGGTTTGAAAAGTGTCTGGTTTTCACGGTTTTCCTCTTCCTGAGCTTCACTTAGGTCCTTGATGATCAATGAACCTTGGATGTGAGAAACTTTATTCGTCAGACTTATTCCCCTGTGGCTGTCACAAAAAAATTCCTCCTTTCCTGAAGAGAGGCTTAATGAGCGGCTGAGATTTAATGGGGGATATTCTGTCTAATTCCTATGAGCTGACTAGGAGTTTAGTTAATTCAACCGATAACGCTCTTAGTTAACCACTGGCTGAAGTGCCTATCATACCTTACCTGAGTTATCGTCTTATACACAGATAAAATAATCATGTTCACCCAAGTAAGCCTGCTCACTAAACCTTCATTTCACCATTTAATACTTGATTTTGACACACGATGTTAGTTGAAGTAGGTTGTGGCTATTAAAGGGTTAAATGCGACCAGACTAAAAAGTGACATCAATCCATGAAATCTCCGGCTATTGGTCTGAGCTCTGAAGTAAGACATAGACTACTTGACTGAGGTCCTGCAGATGACTGAAATCAACGTTTGGAGACTCATGATGGTAATGTTGGGATCTAATCACAATGAATATGCTTTTTATCATTTTCGAAATTTTGAATGTTCGTTTGCTTTCTTCCTCTCCTTGCATACTTCTTTGTCTACTTCGTCATAATTATCTCGCTATCTAACTGTCTTTTGGATTCTATGGTGAACTGTGAAAACATTAACTGATTTACTTCTATGCCTTGATTTATATATATATATATATATATATATATATATATATATATATATATATATATATATCACAACTGCTAAGAGTCAATACTCCCATTTAGAGCTACGAAAAAGCATATAGAATCATAGTTACGTTACTCTAAAAGAGTTCAGAGCACTGGGAAATAGCAAACTGAAGCGAATCTTCATGGAGCAATAGAAAAGCAATTACTATGAAAAGCGCAACAGATAAAGTCAGATACTTCGGTTATCTGCATTAAGTAAAACTTGTGTAAGTGGAGACAAATGCTTTTGGGAAGAAACAGTGGTTGGAGGTCAGTCATTTAGGTAACATACCGGTTTCTGTTTTCTTATATGGCCATAGAATACGTAAAAAAGTGAAAATATGTTTAGTAATTCAAATATTGCTCTGTAGTTTCAAAACTTACTAACTTACAAGACGAATGAGGGGAACGGTACAAAATTTATGCTCTGAATTATAAGTCACAATAAGGTCTAACAGAGTTACTGTGCTCCTTGATTGTCAAGTTCAGGCCATGTAAGGCTGACTTAAATTTTTGACTCTATGACTAGCAATCAGACGTTTAGACATATGAGATATCACTTCACTAAAAGAAGTTTCTGTAATACATTAAAATCCCAATAGCGGAACAATGGACAACTATATGAATGAAACTCAGCGCTACTCACGTCTGTAAAGAAGAAAGCGTGTTGACTGTGATGATAACTTAGTGCAATGGTAAATTAATTATGTCAGTAGTTGTGAATACCACTCTAAAAAAGTGTCGTGAAGGAAGTCAAAGACTTAAACATTTTATAAACAAAATGTTTAAATTGAAACATGTATTGAATTAATTAAAGTTTCGAAAGGTTCTACCTATTGCGAAATGTACCTTCCTAATAAAAAGAGACGGACGCAGCAATAGGCCCATATCCTACCAAAATAAAGATATCATCGAATTTCCTCAGTCCTAATTTATGCTAAAGCAATGTTGTCATTAAGAATTATGTGACTTTTAATTGTGTAATCCGGAAACTGACCCTTTGCGATATTAAATATATCATCATGTCTTATATTTTAATCACAACCGATCTGCATAGGGCATCTAGGATGTTAGCTTAAAAAGCCTAAACCACATTAAAAATTGAGATCGCTGTGGGATCTCGAAATTTGCAAACTACGAAGTATATAAAATTCAACTTAAGCTGTAAAAATGTGAGTAACTGCTTAGCCAGTTTCAAAAGGTATAGAAGTGATATCAGCAGATAAGTCAAATTCAACACAGACTGAATGAGCGTTAATCAGTGTTGTATTCTAAGACTGTATAACTTATCTCAAAGGCCTCAATTTTCCTCTATACTAAGGCGCTGCAGAGTTCAGAAAACCAGGGAGATAGAAAGGTGTACATGCACAGAAGCACTTAGTATACGGAAGATGGAAACTTACATCAAAGGAGACGTTGAAAATAAATCCAGCTAAACCAAAGACAAAACTGTACGAAACAACAGACTTAATACTAACGAACTGTGAGTATCCAGCGTCCATAGTGCGAGAATAGGAAACTCATAGTTCTTGAATTGTCACGTCTAGTTCTTCGGCGTGTGGTTCTTGTTGTTTGGTTTTACTACTTTATTGAGCACATGAATCCCCACTGCTTTCTCGCATTTATTTCTGTTGAAACAAGTGCTTTCTGTGGACTTATATTTGCAACTTGTAGGTTAAGTTGATTAGGAGACTACGAATAACTCAGAATATCAGGAATGTTTTACTGTTTTCTGAGTTGGTGTATGAAGAGAAATTCTAGAATGGGGGAATAAGTATATGGGGTGTTTTCGAAAAGTGAAAGTACACAGGACGAGCGTAGTTACTATTAAGAAGCTAGAAAACGAAGCGTGTAGATCTAAACAAACAGGTAGTAAGTAGCAAATAAGAGGAAAATAGTAGCAATCTAGTTAGGTCAGTAGTGTCCTGAGTACATCTCTGACAAGCCATATAAACTAGTATTACCGTCTAACCCTTTTTTAAACCGCTCTGGCGAGGAAACGGTAACTAAGTCTTGCTGTCAAGCATTTCATAAAGCACAAACCCCTAAGTGAGATAAATTTGACGTGAGTCTTTTTTTGGTCCTCTGACGTGCTGTTCTGATAGAATTCCCCCATGATGACTGCCATGTTGTAGATGAAGTTGGTCTGTTCGCTTGATATGGTTGGCGGATGATCTTGCAAGCCAAAATGAGGTCACTGGTCTTTCTGTGATAGCCTAAATTGGATAGATCTAAGCGTCTGAATCTATTAAGATACGTTTTCTCTTAAGGTAGGCAATTATTTTGTTGTAGATCTCTGGACATTCTCAAGGACACTAAAGATTCCCTTGAGAGCCAGATGTGTTGCTGTGTTCAATGTTTCCAGATGCCATCTGAAAACTATCAGGAAATGTATCAATGTTACAGTACTTAGCTGCCTGCATAGATAGTGTAGAATGGTGTTCACTCTTATAATTAGAGCTGGTGTTTAGTGTGTTGCGGGAGTTGAGACCATAGTCCTTTTCAATTGAAACTTTGGTGACGGCATAGTTGCCCAACTTGTATTCGAATTTGGTTGTACCTGCTTCGTGGATCCTAGTGTGCGTTAATATGTACTTTCCAGGTTGAAGCCCAGGCTGTTCTCTAATGACAATAGTCCTAGTTGCTGAATTCATAAACCTGCAAATTTTGGTGCATGAAGTAAAAATAAGAATAGAAAAGGGGATTTTCTGTTAGACATTGTTAATGGACTACAGAAACAGCTGAAGCTCCAGGACTGCTCCCTAAGAACCCTTAGGTGTTGATGGCCTCAACGTAAACCGTATTTTGCCCACTTTGGTGCATAGCCGTCTACCCCCCGGATAAGATTTAGAATAAGAAGGCATATGTTTTTATGCCTGCTGATGCAATGTTTTAGACTAGGTTTCTTCGTGAAATGCTAACAGATGCTTTTGCTAGGTTGAGAAAGAAAACGCGAAGTGCTCTGAAGAAAAGACCTCCGTGAATGTTACCCATCTGTTTGGTTCACATACTCTAAATTGTAATGGGATGTAAACACAAAGTGAAAGTGTTTGGAAAATCTCTAGTTTCCTTAAAACAACCAAAAAAAACTCAAGGAAAACTAGGTATGACACAAATTAATGCTTGACAACAGGTTTGTTGACTGAAAACACCGATTAAGTGTTTTAACTGGGGAGAAACAGGTTAAAATAGGCAGAAAAATAATCTCACGTGAAAGATATAATTAGTACATTAAACGTGCAATGTACTCAGTAATAAAGTACATTCATAAGCATACAGTTTTATATAATACCTGGGCAATGTGGGAGGTTAGGGCCACCAACGAGTTGTTAAGTTGTTCATTTTCCAGCATTAAACGTGACATTTCTGACTCTCCAGCAAAATCAGTGTTCATCCTAGACTCATCAAAGTTATGGTGACCAGGTTCAGGACTAGCATTTGCACCGAGGGGTGCCCATCTCTCTTTAGGACGATCGTATTCCTCTGTAAACAGATATGTGTCTTCTTCGCACCCAGTACAATGAACATCCGATTTTGTCGAACTCATTTCAAAGGCAAAGAACGCAGTTACAGAGAGCCAGACTGATAAGCCCGCTATTAAAGTTGATCAAAAAGTATTAAGTTCATTTTATTAAAACGAAAATTAGGAAAAATGTGAACACTCCAATTTGTTGCTAAAAAACATAGTTGACACGTTTATGGTACAAATGAGGTGTCAAGATTGTTAAGTGATAGGTGTTTGGTGATTAAATACATATGAGTTTGGGAAAATTACTTCGACTGAAAATGGCAGATCCCAATGTGCTATCCGCTTGTTAAAGGTCTCAAATGGGTTTTGAAAATATCTTCGGACTTATGAATTGCGATGCCTCCTTCAAGATGTCCGCTTTATGAGCATTAATCAGGCTAACACCATTTGGAAAAAACTTCAATATTGTAGCACCCACCTCCCTAAGAAATGGGACAGGATAGAATGTTTTCATTCCTGTCAGAGTTACCACCTGTTTACGGGGTGCTTATACAAACTCAAAAATAGCTCATCCAGAACGTTCAATCATTTTTTCAGCACAGACGTTCAGACGAACTTTTTCACATGAAGCCTAAGTAACTTCTGGAAGGTATTGCTAGGATTTATGTGCTATAGTACCATAATTTCTAAGCTGGGTAACATTAGACGCTATTAATACTGTCGAAATGATGCTCACTAGTGAGTCACTGGGTTATATTTCGAATTTTTCGACAGTCTTTAAGCTGGAATATACTTTGACAACGGGGAGCTTATTAGCGCCCACCTCCTAGTTACAAGATCTTGTTGGTACTAGAAGCTCAACCACTAGTGTGCTCTGAAGTAGCTACTACTCTCTTGCGTTCCTCGTTCCTTCGGAAGTGTAAAAACCTGTCCGGACTCATTTCGGTACCATTTGAGCAAACGAAAGCCACCCTGATTTAAGGAATAAGATTTTGGATTTGAAAGTGCAAGGTCGGGACTTAGTTTCTACCATGTTCCCCATGAGTTTCTTGACTTTGCTGTCGTGGGGCATAGAATAACTTTTTAAAAGACATTTCGGTAGTGAATGGAAGTAGGCAGTGGTAAAGAGTAGTGACTTCATAACTGGCAGGTATATCCTGGTGGAAATAACCCAATGCTGTTTTCTATGAAACAACAACACTCGTCACCGAAATCTTCTGGTCACTGGTATTGCTGCTATCCTCTCGTCAAGAGACAAGTGAGGCTTGAGAATATACGGGAAACACAGTTTACTGTTACCACACATTTTAAGGTCTCTGAGGGTGTCTTTAACCATTTGGCATGTCTGAAAATTTTCGACTGAGGGCTTTAGGAAAACGAAGTTGATTGAAGTGATCTGCGATGAAACCATTTTTTAGGTATAGTTTTGAGACTAGTAGTTACGAAACTCTATGGATAGTTTTTTCATGGCCTTTTCCGAATAGCATGTTTGTTTGGAGGCTTTCCCAAAAGGCTTGGTGTACTCTGGCTGACCTTTCATCTCCCTGATCTTTCGATGGCAAACAGATGATACAGTGGTACTGGCACTCTAAAATTCGTCAATGAATTGGGTGTTATCTTCACCGCTTGGAACTTCATAACTGGTGGATGGTTTTCTCTTTTTCTCTTGCCAGCACAATTTCGACTGCACGTAACCGGCTTCATGCTGCAGAATGCCGCATCTACCGACGTTGGTAAAGTCACTCTATGCTGGGGTGACGGGCTGCTTCTCGCACCGCCTTTTAATGGAATGACAGAATTCAGTTGATAGCCTGGCCTTGAGCTTCTATGCCATGTCAGCGGGGTGGACTACCAGTTTTTTCGCTTTACTTCTACCTGCATTCTGCGACGCAAAATCGTCTGTCATAAAACGGGTCCAAATATAGACAATGAGGTGGCCACCATCTGATGTGTCAACCTTCTAACCGACTTCAGGTTTTCAGGTGTTTTGATCATCCACAAAGTCCCACCGTCTGAGTTGTGTTTTCTTCTTTCCTTATTGGCTGTGTGATTTCAAATTGTTTCTGTTGTGGAGCAGCCGGTGATTCTTTCGAAGTCTTACTTGAGAAAGCTGTTTGTTGCGACGAGGTTCATTCGACATATTTGACGAGCGTGCCGAAGCTATCCACGTGAGTGGCGCCTTGCGGAAGTCTCTTCCCGCTTTGGTTCACTTTCGCTGGGTAGACAGTGCACTCCCGAACTGCCAAAGCTACATCCGAGATCTTGCTAACCACGAGTTATGCTAGAATAACAAGCATGACAGCAATGATCCTCAACAACTAATACGAACTAGACGTTACACTGCTCCTGCATATCGTGGTATTTAATATCGATGCTCTACGGTATTCAGTAGATCCCCTGTCCGTACAGAAAAAAATTCGAAGCGTATGCTCCGTGTTTTTCTCAGAAACCCAACCTCCTGAGGGTCAACCCCTCGCCTGGAACGTTAAAGAGTACCACCTCCAAGGGACACGCATTTGGATATGCGCAGAGGGACGCAAAAAACTTAATACTTAGAAAACAGAAGAACCAAAAGAAGGAGAAATTATTCGGCTGTTTCAGCTTATTTAGTCACGAACCAGAGCCATTAACTTCGAAATATAATGGTTTTGCAATATACTTTACCTAAACTGTGAAGAAACACTTGCTAATAATTATCATATTTGTGACATAAGTCGTTGCTAGGCCCCCCGTAACTGCTGGTTATATCACTTGTCTCTCGGCATTAACGAGCCCAGTAATCGAGTAACTACTACTGCTCCACCATGATCCAGTCCAACAAACGCATATGTGCTGCGCATACATGCAGACCTAATTGTAGCGTCTCAACCAAAGGAGCACGTTCACTAAATGGTTTGACATCAAGCTCTAAAAGAGGCCTTGAAGTTAAGGTACTCGATTTGGTACCAGAGCTACATAACGCTTCGCGTAAAAATGAGGGAGATTTGATAGCCTTACTGAAGTCACTGCAGAACGTGAACGCTAAGCTTGAAGTTGTCCCGCCACTGCTGCATCTCTGTCAGCCTAATCTTGAAGCCGGTATTGAAACCCTATCGAAAACAGAAAGTGGTGGATTTCATAGCCACAGAGGTTAGTAAACGAATTGTGTCCTCATACAACGTACTAATATTAAACATACCCGACCACGAACCGATCAAACAAATAAAAGCTTTATGTTTGCAGGCCTGCAACATGTCTTCTGCAGAACGCCAAGTTATCGGTCTCCACAAGAAGTTATGGAAATATACCTGCCCCCTGCTGTTCAAATTTAGTAGCCGTTACCATGTCAGACACTTCCTATCATCCAGTCAACTTGTTAGTGTATGGACACCATATAAAAGAGCCAAACTTAACACCTTGTCAAAGAAGCAATGGCACAAAAATACCAAAGGCTGGAAACTCTAGTCAGGCTGTGGTACCCACAACAGAAACACAATCTGTTAGTGAACTTGTTACTGTACGAAAACAACGGAATGGGGTACACCGAAACCCTCAAAATGGCTTACTCACGCACAGACGTAGTAGAGCCGATGACACGACAGTGGGCCTGAGCAAATCGACGAACTACACTCGAAAACAGGCACACGATCATACCGCCTACCGAAGTGGAAAGCCCGTCGCCGTCTCACCCCGTCACACAAATCACCACCAAACCAAGTGCTACGCTATCGATCCATCAAGGTACTGAATACATTACCATGTCACCCTCAGGAGTTATTCAACCTATAAACCTACCGAGCACCGGCCACAGGCACCCTGTCACCTAGGGCCGCCCCGAAGCCTAGCGCGCAAAGTGTCTGATCTACCCCCACATTAGCCATCGCATAACCTATATGCATCAAACAGGCAGATGAAAAAGAGTACAGATAGCGCTAGACGCTTATACAAACCTTACCATGGGCCCACCCGGGTTGATCAAATTGCAAAAAAGACAATTACGTAGCCAAGCCAATAGATGGACAAGCGATACGAATAACCAAAGGACCATGACGCCCTCGCAAAGCCACACTAAGAAGTGCCGGACGTTATTTCTCAGTTCATTCTATAACGAAACCAAATGACTACTGTCCAGGCGATCCACATCTCTCAGCATTTCCGTGATCACTGGCGGAGATACACCGCGGATAGACCCTTCAACGGTCACAGTTATTGGATAGCGGGCCGAATGTTGGTCACAGGCCATACACTTTGCCTCACCCATATGCCGCAAAACGTGGGTCATATGCCACTCAAGGACAAACTCGCAATAGACCCCCTGGGGAAAAAATTAAAGAATATGAGGTTGGCAATGACCATAAAGTATGCGGCAGCCAGCGGACAGACATGCCACACAATCTATCAGTCCCCGTTACTTCCTATGAACAGGGGTTTTTCAGACAGCCTACGGCTGAAACGCCGCGAGTAACCAAAATGATTCGGTTGCTCTCCGATCTTCAACTCTCTATCTTGACCAACAGCATCTGTACCAATCACGATGTGGTAAATACCTCACTCCTTCCGAGGTAACCAGTACCAAGTCGTCGCTCTCTACTAAAGGTCATGACATCGCTAGCACGATGAATGCAAGGGATTCACAGGGAATGTACAGAAGTGCTAACTTCTTTAGAGATATATACAAAAACTTTTGTACTCTTAACTCACTCTCGCTTTGCCTGATTAACGCCTGCTCTGTACACAACAAAATGAAAGACATTGGACTTCCATCTCTGATATACGATACACGATTTGAAAGAAGCCTTGTATTAGTGCTGCGTAAAAAAGATTGCAGGCTGTTTGAAGTCGTCTGCTAGAGGGTACGGTATTCCATTTCGGGTAACGCCGCAGATATCGTTTACGTGGAATTGGAAAACTAGCCATCCTGGCACGCTACTCTGGACGAAACCGCTTCGCAGTGAGTGATGTCAGCCCACATCTTGTCGCCTTCCCAATCCTGTATCCAGTAGCCTACGTCTCCACCTTCTTCAGATTGGTATGAAGTTCATCCGATTCTTAGTGTGTCCATCTGGTGGAATCCATGTCGCTTTGTGAATATCCTTGAT